TTGGGGAGAGAGAGGGGGAGGGGGGAGGGGGGGGGAGGAGGAGGAGAAGGTTGAGGGGATTAGACGCCCTGGTAGGAGCGAAGATGGGGGTAGGGGTAGGGACGGATGCGTTGGCCTCGAAGGCAAGGCTGCTGAGAGAGACACTCTCAAAGAGTGAAATGTTTACAGGGAGTATGATCGAGGTACTGACGACATTCGATCAGAGGCTGTCGGGACTGGAGGCCGTGATGAGGCCAACGCAGGTGAGACGGCTGTTGGGACTGTTCTTCCACTTATTTCTCTTCCCCATCACCACATCCGGTTCTTCTCCCTCTTCTCCCTCTTCTCCCTCTCTTTCTTCTTCATCACCATATCCCCTTCCTCTCCCTCTTCTGAACCACCACATCTGATTCCTCCTCTTCACCCTCTTCTCCACAGCCTTCTTCCTCTTCTGCATCACCATATCTGGATCGTCTTCGTCTCCCTCTCCTCCCTCTCCTCCCTCTCCTCCCTCTTTCTCCCTCTTCCTCTTTCTCCCTCTTTCTCCCTCTTTCTCCCTCTTCTTCTCCTTCTCTCTTCTGCCTCTTCTTCTTCTTCTTCTCGCTCGTATGCTCTTCTCCCTCTTCTCCCTCTTCTCCCTCTTCTCCGTCTTTGCAGTCTTCTATCTCTTCTCCCTCTTCTCCCTCTTCTCCCTCTTCTCCCTCCTCTGCCTCAACACCAAGCCCTCCTCGGCTGAAATTGACCTTCAGGCGGTGCTGTTGCCGCCATCCAGTTTCCCCTGCTGTCCTTTTTCGTTTGTCTAGAAGTAAGGGGAAATTACAAGTATATCGTCCGTCGCCTTGTTCATTTTCTCGATGGCATTCAGTATATTTGAGACCGTCCTCGATTCCGTTTGCCTCAGGGTGCCTGACGCTTACGGGCTAGGTGCGCTGCCCCGTAATTCCCGCCCACCCGTTTTTTCTCGTTCCCCTCTTCCTCCTTCTTCCACCCTCTCTCTCCCTTCCTCTCCAGTTCTCAATGCTCTTTCTTACGGTCTCCGCCCCTGTGCGTTGTTCCTGTCTCTCTCTCTCTCTCACACTCTCTCTCTCTCACACACACACACACGCACACACAGACAGAGAGAGAGAGAGAGAGAGAGAGAGAGAGAGAGAGAGAGAGAGAGAGAGAGAGAGAGAGAGAGAGAGAGAGAGAGAATATAAAGAGAACGGGAAGAGTGAGGTAGAAGGGGATGGAGAGAGAGAGAGAGAGAGAGAGAGAGAGAGAGAGAGAGAGAGAGAGAGAGAGAGAGAGAGAGAGAGAGAGAGAGATGTTAGGAAGCTTCTACTAGGTGTGGGGTAATGGTGGGTGCCCACCTACGTCAAGACATCTTCTGAACGATCGCGGGTCATTGGTATGTGCCCGCCTGTCTTTTTTTTTTTTTTAAATAAAGAAAAGGGAAATTTTGTTCCATTTCTCAATTTATGCATGTCATCCTTGCGCCCAGGGGCCATGCATGCTAATCTTCTCTTTCTCTGTATCGTTCCAATCCTTTTAACCGATGTCCATGAAGGACCCACCTGGTTAACTGTATGAGTGGGCACGGTCAAGATTACTACGGTACTACCCAGGTGGCTAACACACCACCAACCAGATGGGCACACTTAACCACGTGAGCACAGTAAAACGCTAACCAGCATTAACCCGAGTTAAGTTTTAACCAGGTGTTGTGCTTAACACACCAAGAACCACTTGGTCCCGGTTAAATACTCTCGATCAGTTGGTTGGGCACAGTGAAACTTTAACTTTAATTAGGCACAGTAAAGCACTAACCAGCACTAACCCGAGTTAAGT